CCAGTTCAATTCCGTACATTTGACGTGGCCCCGCTGGATGAACAGCCCCGTATCTTGCGGGCCCCGGGCAAATCGTAGTGCGCTTTTTGACAACCGGCCGGACAATGTAGTGAGTACGAGAGGCCGGTATGGCCCACGGGGCAGCGACGTCTGTCTCTTCTTTGAGCGACCTTCCAGGCGACGTCGTTGTGACTATTCTCCGCAAGCTAGCAGCCACCGACCCGTGCTCCTTGCTGCCTGCCACGTGTGCCTGCAAAGCCTTCCGTCAGCAAGTGGAGGACAACCCTAGTATCTGGAAGCAAGCCTTCTTTGGCAAGGAGTCAGTGGGCGAAGACCGTGTCAGAGAAGAGCAGCTTGAAGACGTGGTGATGTCTCTCGGTGGATATGAGCGGCTCGTGAAGGCTTGCACTTGGGGAGAATGCCCGGAACGCATGAGGTCATCTGAACAAACCTGGAGAGACTGGTTGCTGTGGTGCGATTTCTCTCAGTACTTACTGGACGACAGGTTACCGGATTGTTTCCCGGGAGTGACCAAGAACCTGATCGTCTTTAGAGAGCAGGGGCGACTTCTCCTTTGGGGCATTTTGACCTAGAATACTTATGGGCCGAAATTTTCGAATTGCAAGCGAGAGGAAAGGGGCGACTTCGAATGGATCGGAACGCGTCAAGGCAATGATCACATTGAACTTTTCCTGAGAACTTCTAGTTTTGAAACAGTCAACTGTGGCGGCGCTAGCTCAGACAGATCAAGCGAAGTAGGACGAGTAAGAGTTTCTGAAAGCGGACATATGGTTACTGGACCAGTGTCGATGGAAATATACCTGTTTCCAGACCGCATGGCAGAACCATGTCCTTTTAATGCACCAATGTCAATGCTCAAAGGATCGAGGGCTTGGAAGTGCAGACTGAAATCTAAGAAAAATGAGGACTTCGGGTTTCAGCTGAGCGGTACTTTTTACGTGCTTTACCCAAAAACAGAAGAATCCACAAAAGCTCCGGCGCTTCCGGCAACGGACGTATGCCCAATCTTGTGATCAAAAGAAGAATCTTCTAGCAGATAAAGAGCCTCGTATTCTTTCTATCCTTAGAGGGGCGTCTCGTTCCTTGTGGCCGTAAAGATTATTATTAAGTAGCTCATGGAACGTCGGATTTCGAGCTGTTACCAGGTTTGGCAGTGCACCGATCGCGCTACCCAAAAGCTCTCTGTTATACCTATTGACTGGTAGAATTAAGAGTCGGCCCCCGCCAGATGTTGCGTCATGTCGGCCACTCCTTACGAATGCTGTCGTCAGTGCTGAAATATACGTTTTCCGTTCATAGAGAAACAGAGATCGTGAGTCCATCTGGGCGCGAACTACTCGACGTCCCTGCTCTTCGCTCAGCAACTTGCTGTCCGTTGAGATCGACGGCGTATAACAACAAAACGTGCACGTATGCCAACAAAATATGCTACACGGTGCATGTAATCAGGACTCCCTTGTCGAGTCTCGACCAGCAACGTCGTTCCAAATGGATGAATTTGCTGGCTGTGACGCTGTCATGAATGTGGCTGCAACAACCGTTATAGCATGCTGAGTGGTATTAAAAGTGTGCACCTTTCGTCGGTTGCGTGGCACATGTGACAGTCGAAGAAATCTAGGTGCTGAAAGACTTCAATTACAAATCAGAGCAATCTGGACTCTCATAGAGTTGGATCTATACAAGTCAATATGTGATTGGATAAATTAAGCGGGTGAAAACGGGTCACACAAACCAGCACTATAATAAAGCTACCAGTCATGCAGCCCGACTTCTACAAACAGCGGCCGTTGCTTGCCTTGTCCGAGGCTCGCATTCCCAGCTCTGGCATGGCTTGCAACAAGCGGACAGATCCATCAGATACGGTTATGGAAGCATTCGGGGTATACACATAGCGCCATTGATGTGTTTGCGAGTAAGGGGCCGATCACTTGCAACATCCGTCGATTGCTTTGGAATATGACGCCTTGCTGCAAAGTGTTCGAAATTCTAACAGAAAATCCAAGGTATCCAATCCCTAAGAGCTTTGCTAATGGGACGCACCATATCCAAATCTCGAGGTTATTGAACAAGGCCTGGATGACCTTGACCCTGCTTTTGTCTTGCAAACGGTGAAGCTTGATGTCTTTGACGTCATATTGCGTTTTAGGTATGCGGCTTGTTTTCCCAGCAGACTCTCCAGTGGGGCTCCTTCCTAGAGTCAAATTTCAGATAGGTAAACAGTTCACAGGGCAATTTCGCCTTCCCTCTATGACGCTTCGAATTTGTCCACAGATAGCCGCGCAACGAATAGCATGTTCCGTTCTTGTGATCCACCCAAGCCTCTTTGGAGCTAAAAGTCTCGCAGCGGCAGACTGTAGAATGTTTTTCCAGCGCGGGTGCCCTTGTCTCGGAAGGCGGAAAGGTGTAGAATTCCACAGACTATTCCCAAGGGAATGAACTTTAGCATTCCTTTCTTTATTCTAGTGAAACGTCCAACGTCAGATGGATGGACGGTTTGGGGCAAGGACGGTCAGGGTTCGCTCTTCTGATGCCGCACTTCTCGCCCCAAGAACACAATTGTCCCCAAGACAACTCTTATTGACAAATAATGGGTTCGCGTTTTACAGGGCTGCTTTCCAAGCCGTCTGCCGCAATCACGTCCTAGAAACTCGTGGGCTCTGCGCGAAAGCTTCGTCCTCCGACCAGGCAAGGTGGTCCGAATCAGAGACGTTGGAGCGTTACGAGCGTTCTCTGTCTGAGGTAGTGGCAGTAGCGGATCGAGCCACAACCGCCGAGAATGTCTCAGGTCGGAAGCGGGTTTTTGAAGAGTTGACCCGTTTTCTGGAGAAGAACGCTTACGGAGTCACCACTTCTGCAGCCTGGAAGGCTAGCGGAAGATCAGCACTTGGTTTGTCTCTTTGTCTGGCCGGCGCCCTTGTGGGGCATTCGGTGCATTGTAACGTGCCATTGTCAACGGATTGAGTGGTGGGGCAATTGCAACTGATGGCGAGGCGGCAGCAGCCCGTCTGCAGGGACTTCCAGAAGGGAAAGTGAGCACACTGCCGGCGGCTGTGTTTTGCATCCTGCTATCTGGGTGTGGGCCGCTACTGTAGAGGCCATGTTCTTCAGATGCGGAAGATCGCAGAGAATTGCAAAAGGCGTTTGCAAGCCTCTGAATTTGTAAAATGCAACTGGACACCATCCGCTGCTCTGCAAGTTCTGCTCAAAGACTGCCACCACTACAACCACCTTTTCTTTGCTTTCTTTATCAGTGAGTTTTCTTATCGACCTAATTGGCTCTAAAAGTAGTTGTAACCTTGAAGGCTGGTCGCCGCACCACCACTTCCTGGCTTAGGAGCAGATCTCTACCGACCAGTATATCTGTTGCCCATTCTCTCCTGTACTTTACATCGCCGGAACGTCTGTTTTCTGGCAGGTCCAAAGGCTCACATGTCTTTCTATCAAATCAAGATCAGCGGCGCCGCTTTGTGCGACCAATCATCTGGACATTAGGATCTCGTCAATCTCAATCATCTTCCACTTTGCAGCTGCCGCTTTGGGGCTCAGTGCAAGTTCTCCCATGACATTGGCCAGTCAGGAGGTGGGCGCCCTCAAAAGGTCAGCGCCTTCTCTTTCCTACGCTACCAGACGGTGCAAACAGGAATCCTCAATTCAAAAGGCCCAAACGGAATACCGAGCAAGACCTTGTTGTCTAGGTGGGCTTTTATTTGCCGTGGTAGTAAGCTCAGTGGAACGTCCGTGTCCCCTATCAGTCTATCTTACTATTGTATTTCGCCCTTCCTGCGAGCACCAATACTATGGCCTTAAGTAAAGCTTAAGGGATTGCGCAAGTAAAGATCAAGGGACTTTGCATAGATGATTGCAACTGCGGAGTGCGGCGAAACTGACAGTGCATGCATTTCATACGCACAAGCTAATAAAAGGAACTTTAGCCAGGGCATCCACTGAATGTTGAAGTGGGACCCCGGTGAAGCCGTTATTGATTCCAGTCACAATCATAGCGCTGCTGAGAGTCGGCCCTTACACATGTTAGAGGTTTTTATCGGGCATCCTTAAGCCGAGTCTGATACTTTCCACTCCAGATTGAGCTCCCAAGTGAGAAATTTGGATAGGTTAGTGCCATTCAAGTGGCTCAGAACCTGCTTCAATGAACCCAGGAAAGGTGTTTGTCAGCCAAACTTCTATCGAATCAAATTCTTTTCAAGGTGATGTTTCATCACTGCAATCTGACAAGGCCTCTAATGTCACCAAGTTTCTTCCCATGTCTTGTCCAATAACATTCTTTAAGGCTAATGTCCCGTCTGGCCTCTTCTTGAAACACACATGCGAGGTTCCATGACGAGAGCATCAAATCGGCAACTGGCGTTGTGTACTGCAGAATGTCTTCGGTTCAAATGCTTTTGCGCCGCTCGCGAGTGGAGCAAAGGCCCCTGGGACTCCAGCCAAGGCGTCAGACAAGCCGGAACACCGGTAAGCTTCGGCGCTCCCCTGTTTGAGCTAACAATCGTCCTTGGCGGCCGCGCTCCAGTTTGAAAAGCTTTGCAGCTGAAGTCTGGTGCGGATGATCATGGGCCTTTGTCAGCGGTTCCAAGTGCCGTCGCTCGAATACACTTGGCTTTTCAAACCCAATTACAGACGAACAAGTTTGTAAACCGTCAGATGACCCTTCCAGATTGGGAGTTGGCTTGGCGAGCGAGTGGGTCAGATTTATCTGCCGCTCTCCAAATTTAGGTCAAGCACAGTCTCCGCATAGGTTTGTAGGATGGCGATGCATCAGATCCGTATGTTTGAAGTTTAGAAGTAAAGAAGTTCATGCTCAGAAGTTGCCTCCTTCCAAGCTGGCGCGTAGGCCCTCAATGCGTCAAGTTCGGACATGCCTCCTCTTTGGTGCCACGATTTGTGGAAGCCTCACGTCCTCACTCCGTTGTGATTTCTTCAGGATCACACAGACTCGATCTAGTTTATAACGAACGCAGATTGGCCCCATCTTTTTCCCCGCACTTAGAGATTTCAATCACAATGAGTCCTCCGCTCGGGCCAGATTTGTCGTAAGATTTCAACAACCTTCGAAGTGCGGAGCCAGAGACGATCCAAGGATCTTGCATCTTTTCTGATACTACAATTCTGCACAGACCGCCAATGAAACCGCCGTTATCTTTTTCCAATACAGCAGCTGTCAGGTTATCTAGACCAAGGCGGACAGACCGCTTCCAAAATCATTAATTTACCGCTTTGCACGTCCGCATGCAGGTGCAACAACCCGCGGGTGTGTCAGGACCAGATCCGGGAGGACTTCCAGACTGAGAAGCCCAAGTGGTGGACGCTGTCAGCGTATGCGCACTGGAAAAGGTCAGTGTCCGCACAGAGTTTGTGTCCTCTCAGAACCATGAAGGGTAAGCTTACCATGAAGAGTAGGCGCCATCACGGGTAACTGGGACAGGTGGGATTCGCTACGGGGTAAGGGTGGACACGGGTGCGCTGCGATTAAAATACTGGTCTGGGTTTTAGTTTGACGTTCTCGCTCCTCTTCATGGCGTTTACCCTTCACGGAGAGGACCGTGGCCTGACGCTGGCACGGCGAAGCAGCCCCGCTGTTTGAATGGTAGAAGTAGGTCCCCTTTCTCGTGACTTGCTGTCCAATCAATCGTCCACATTAATTTTGAGCAGCCGACCCGCGTTGCCTCTCCTGTGCTCAAAACGCATCGGTCCGGTTGGTTGAAAATAGCAAGTGTTTGCTGCGCCATCTCCTGCGTGGCGACCCTCCATGCTGTTTTAGGTTTGGCGCAGGATCAATCAGGTACCGCGTTCTGAGCGGTTCTTCGAAAGAGGCTCCCAGCTTTGCACCCTGTCCCATCGGTTCGTAAATTGTAAGCGACTACGATGGGCTTCGACTACGACATATAGGCCAAACTTATGCCTGCTGACTGAACGCCTGCTTCCGCCTTTCTCCCAGCCTGCCGAACGACATCAGCGGTGACGTCAGCTTCGAGGAGCTCCGATGGGAGGGGTACAAGGCGGCCCAGCAGGGCACTCCGCTGCAGCAAGTCGTGAGTATCTACCCCGCTCTAGTTTCTACATGCTTTCCAGAAAATAAAAGACAACACGATTGTAATCTTTGTTCCCAGGCTCCTTGTCTGCAGACGCATAGCTTCTAAGGCGTTCTGTCGTCGGTTGGCTCAATCACGCTTCTTAAGGTTCTGAATCTGGTCCCTTCCGGTACTGGCATGTTGCAGACCTTCCAGTCCGTGCTCGCTAGATGCGGACTGCCGAACTGGGTGAACAAGATCCTGGCATAGTCAGCAGAATGATCCTCAATTTCCGTTGCTTATTCTGGCAACCGAACATCTATTGCTTTCAAAATTGAAAGTTTTAGGGGCAGATCGATCAATCCGAAGGCGTCTGTAGACATTCCCGCCAAGCTCTCGGCAAGGTTAGACACGAGCTCTGTCAGCAGATTGCGCCGCCTTGCAAAATCCCTTTCATCAAGAATAGGGATTGTGTCTTCACCCTCGGAAGCTTCTCGATACTTAAAAAGGGACCTTCTTTTCTATCTCTTTTCTATCTCTGTGTCGAACTAGATTTGAGCTTCAGCAAAACTTTCTTGGTCATGTCCTCCTCACAGGTGGCACGAGAACAGCAGCTCGTACGCACCAAAGAGTCCGAGTATCAGCAACTTCTGCTAAACCCTTACCGCGGTCCCGGCCAAACCCAGGCCGTTACCTCTCCCCCTCCGGCTGGCACCGCTCTTCTTTTTGGCAAACCCGTTACCCCGGTTAACCAACCCACTAACCCACCGTTTGGGCAGACCGGTTATGGTCAGCCCGCAAGCTTCGGAACTCCCCCTCCAGCGTTTGGAACCCAGGCGAATTCTCCGTTTGCCCAACCTCAGACACAAACCCAAACCATCTTCGGTAGCAAGGCCGCGACTCCTAGCCAAAGTGGGTTTGGTCAAACCCCGGGGGGTAACATCTTTGGGGTTAAGCCCGCGGTTACCCCTAGCCCGTTTGGCGCTCCGAGCTCTCCGTTTGGAAGTCAAGCCTTAACCACGCCCCAAACCACCGCCCAAACCCCCTTCGGCGGGGGGACTATTTTTGGCCGTCAGGCAACCCCAGGGATCGCCACCCCTTCCGGGTTTGGGGGTTTTGGGCCGCAAACCCCGGCGCCATCTCAGAGTATATTCGGCAGGACACCTAGCGGGGCGGCGCCAAGTCCATTTGGAGCGCAGCCGGGGGGTCAATTTGGCACGCAGCCGATTCCCTCTTTTGGAAGCGGAGGAGCAAGCTCGCCGTTTGGAGCGGGGGCACAGAATTCGTTTGGGGCTGCCAACGGGTAAGAAGCAAAAGTCTTTGAACGCACAGCGTTGAACGAAGCGTGGCGTCATGAAGACGATACTCCATGCGTTCTGCTCGTGCATGGTTATTTGTTTTTGGAGGTCGCCGCAATCTTGCAAAAGGTGCGCAGAAGGCGTTGTGGAAGAACAGCAATTTCTTAGTTTTGAAGCAATTCCAAAGGGCTGCAGACCAATCCAAAGATTTGCCCAGTTTGTTGGATTGCTCCTTCGGTTTTGGAGCAGAATAGGGAGAGATATACGAGCGACAAAGTCAGAAACACTGAGGTGTGAAAAGAAGGATGTGCCTTGGCAAGCCTTTAAGCGTTCCTTCGCGGCTCGGAGTAAACAAACCCAATGCCTAATTCCTTCTTGTGCTTGGACAGCATCGAGGTTTCACTTCTTGCCTGCCATGTTGAAAGCAAGGATGCCAAACTCAAACGTCAGCGCTACACTCTCACATGTACTTCGTTTGGAAAAAGGCTGCCCCGCAACACGCGTCCAGATCTTTTCAGGAACATGATGAACGTACATGAAATGGGGGCTTCTCCAGCCGTTAGCACCGCTGCCCCGCCTCCAAGCGAACCCGGGGGAGATCCGCACCGGGACGTGTGGTTAGCGGAAAAGTTCGAACTGGGGAAGGTGAGTCAAGAGCAAGGCGCTGAGATTTGTCGAGTGGGTCCATTTATCCCTTGAACTGATGGTAGATTTGCTGTTTGTGCTTGGAAGCATTTGGGAGTAGCACAACCACTCAGTTTTGTCCCTGAAGGAGCACTCAGTGTATGAAGCTATCCAACTAATCTGTGGCAGTCGCCGACTTTCGCTCCAGCGCTTGACGGATGCTTCGCTCTTTTTGTGTGTTTGAAGGAAACTTCGTAAAACTTTTGTTCCACCAAAGCGCTCGACGCTACTGAATTTGACCTTTTATATGTTGCAGATACCGGAAGAAGAACCGCCAATATATGCTCGGTGACAAAGCTGCTCCGTAGAAAGAAAAAAACCGCAGAAAGATACCGCATCAAAGAACGGACCGTTGCTTGAGGTTGACTTCTTCAGGATAAATTGAATCTTACGATTTCTTGCAAGACATTGGGGTGCCACGTTTCTTTCCGGGTTCCCCAACGGTGGTTCCAGTCAACCGTAGTGCATGACTTTGCTTCTCAGGATGAAGCAAACACTGATCATTGAGTCTTCTCAAGAACTGAGCGCTTGTGGGGCAATCAACATACGGGTGTAGGGAGTTGCGCCGTCAATCAGTAAGAGAAGCCTGAGCTACGCGCGCATAGCAAGCGCAACGAAGAACACATGGACGCTCGGCTCCTTGAGATTATAAGAGCCGTTGTCCGGTGTGCTAGGCCGACTGAATTGTCATTTGCCCAGAGCTAGTGTGTTTAAAGTGGTCAATGAAGCGACGTACAGCCGAGTTAGCTCAGTAGTGGTGTTCCTGGGCAGGTCCGATCTTATTCATTCTACCTTCGAGAAGAGCATCGTCGCAAGTATGTTCGTTCATCGAGTTTGGCATGTCATAAACGCACACGAAGTTATTTCTACAAAAACGAAGTGACCATCTCTAAGCTAGCGAGTACAGTATTGAATCATGTACATACATACAGTCTCGGGTACATTGTAACAGCGCTCTCCTCAACTCAAAAGTCTCGGCCTCCGGGCCCAGCATGAATTTAACAGCGCGTATGATTTCATGCGGTCATTCGCAGGCCCGCGCGCCGGCAGCCGCGCCGCACTTACAATCTAGAGCATTCTGGACTCTCGAACAGGTGGATCCACAGATCTTTGGTCAATTTAAGCGGGTGGAAAGCGCGGCGGGTTACACGAAACAGCAATATAAGAAAGGTACCAGTCCTGTACTAGCCGGCCCGACGTTCAAAAAACAGTGGCCGTTGCTTGCCTTGTGCCCTAGCCGGAGTGATCGAGGCTCGCATTCCCACTGGCTCAGGCATGGCTTGCAACAAGCCGACAGATTCTCCAATCACAGTCATATATTGAAGTGATCCGGGTATACACATAGTGCCGTCGATATGATCGCGAGTTGGCGGATGCCTTGCAACATGCATCGACTGCTATTCAGGAATATGGCGCGTGCAGTGCTGCAAAGTGTCCAACCCGTGACCAAATTTGAAGCAGAAAAGCCAATATACCCGAACCTAAAGCTTTGCTAGTAGCTAGGCCGCACCCTATCTGAATTACAGGCGACTTCAACGAGTCCTAGCTGACCTTGACTGCTCTTTCTGTGTTGCAAACGGTGAAGCAGCTTGACGTCTTTGACGTGATATTGCCGTTCAGGAACGTGGCTTGTTTTCCCAGCAGACTCTCCAGTGGGGCTCCTTCCTGGAGTCAAATTTCAGATAGGTAAACAATTCACAGGGCAACTTCAGATTTCCTCTATGAGGCTTTGAATTTGACCACAGATAGCCGCGCAACGAATACCATGTTCCGTTCTTGTGATCCACCCAAGCCTCTTTTGGGCTGAAAGTCTCGCAGCGGCAGCCTGTAAAAGGTCCTTTCAAAGAGGGTGCGGAAGGTGGAAAGGTGTAGAACTCTACAGAGAGAGGCCCCGCCGGCCGGCCGTTCCTGTCACAAACAAAACCGTCCGTGTGGTCGGGCCGAGCCCGAGCAATCCCCCTTGCAATTGCCGGAAAATCCACGGAATACACCGGCTGGAGCGAAACGCCCAAGAAAGCCGCCTTGGGGAAGATTGAGTTCGCAACGCTGTCCGCGACTTTGTTCTGGGGGTAGATTCCCCACTGCCAAAGGCTCCCCCGCAAGCGAAAAAAGGTTAGGACCACCCCCCCAGACAAAAGCCGTGACCGGAAGCAGCAAACAGCGCATCTAGACTCGAGCACAGCGGCTCCCACCCCCTGGTTTTGTTCAACTAGCTTTTTCTTCCGTGCCGCACAACATCGAGCTGCCAACAATCGTTTGTACCCACCCAGAGCTTCAACCATTGCATCCAACTTTGCGACCTGTTCTGAATGATACTGTTCGGATTGCAGATTGCCTTGCACATCTTCTGAGACACTGTGAAAGAAGGCTTCTTTCCAGATCCCTGTATTCTCCGCCGCCGCGCGGTGCAGGGGCGCCAAAGCGCACGTGCTTCGCAGCAAGACAGGGGGTCCAGAGCAGCCAGCTTGCGGAGAATAACCAAGAGCAATTCAACCGGAAGGCGCTCCATGCCTGCCTTTAATCTAAACGTACTGCCAAGACAAGTCCGCCCATTGGGCTGAACGCGCGAAGGCCGAGTCTCAGCGCGGCCGCGGGTCTGGAACGCCGCGGCTCAGCGTCTGCGCGTCCAATTGCCGGGGGTATAGCGCCAGTACGTAAGCAGTTGGCGCGACCTTGCATTCCCACCCAACCCAGCCGGGTACGTCTACCGGGCGCCCAGGGGCCTGCCCCTCTTGGCATAGGCTATGAGGCAAAGGGGCCCGGCGCCGTTATACGGGCTCAGCCCGTGCCGTTACCAAGCACTCACAGACCGTTCCCATTCAGCACGCCAAAAGAAGACGTCCAGCTTCCTTTTCCATTGAGATGAGCCTTCGCAGTGTGGCACATCAGCCGCAATCTTGCTCACTTTCCACACTTCACTTTCTTCGGTGGCAATTTCTCTGAGGTTTAGTGGCTTCCGTGTGCGTTTTAGTCCTCTTGCAGTAGAATGACAGAGCCAAAAGCAGGCGGCTTTAGAGAAGCTGCAGGGCAGATTGGTGTGGCTCAGGGCTTTCAGGTTGGCCGGCAATTAATGTCAACAGGAATTGGTGTTCTGTTGTGGGGGCGCTTCCTAGTATCAGTCTCATCATCTCACTTAGCCTTGTAGGAGCAAATCAGAGCTGGCCCTTCAACTGAGTCGTCATGGCAAGAGGCCGCCCTCATGGCCGGTCCAAGTCTGACCACAAAGTTTGTCAGGCAGCTCGACATGCGCGAGCTGCTGAGTACAGGGAGAGGATCGCCATCAGTGCTGAGCAGCAGGAGGCGCGGATTGCGGCGGTTAACGCAGAGTGCAACGTGGAGGATGCCCCTCGTAGGCGGCGGGGCCAGACGTCTAAGGATCCAAAGACCAAGGCATCAGCTGCTCGGGTGTCAGCACATGGCCATTCTTCCAAGGCAACTAGCTGTGGGAAAAAGAAAGCAAACAAGCGACTGGAACATGCGCATGGCAAAGCTGCACAAAGAGGTGAGTTTCTGGTGCATGGCTTCTGGGTTGAATGCCGTGAGTTATGAAGCAGACGCAAAACAGAAGCTGGGAAGTGCTGGTGTGTAAGTTAGAAAGGGGACGGGTGGGTTGGCCTGCATTGTGTACCAAGAAGAGCATATCTGATTAGATAATGGAAGGAACGAAGTTGGTACACACTACTTTTGGTAGTGCGGTCAGAATGGTAAAGGGTGGCTGACTTCGCAGTTACTCATAAGATTCGGTGTCTTAGCGGGCATGTTTGTCCCTGGGGCGTACCAGACTTTGCCTCTTTTTCTTTAGAACATAAGAAGCTAATTCTGGTACATGCTGTCAATCACAAAAGCTCCAAGCAATCTTAGCGGGCATGGCCGTCCCTGGGACGTACCAGACTTTGCCTCTTTCTCTTTAGAACGTAAGAGGCTGATTCTTGGTACATGCTGTCAATCACAAAGCTCCAGGCAATCTTAGCTTGCATGGCCGTCCTCGCAGTGTACCAGACTTTGCCTCTTTCTCTTTGGAACATAAGAGGCTGATCCGTACCAGACTTTGCCTCTTTCTCTTTAGAACATAAGAAGCTGATTCTGGTACATGCTGTCAATCACAAAGCTCCAAGCAATCTTAGCGGGCATGGCCGTCCTTGGGACGTACCAAGATCAGCCTCTTTCTCTTTAGAACATAAGAAGCTCACTCTTGGTACATGCTGTCAATCACAAAGTTCTGAGCAATCTTAGCGGGCATGGCCGTCCTTGCAGTGTACCAAGGTCCGCCTCTTTCTATTCAGAATATAAAAGGCTGATTCTTGGTACGCGCTGGCAATTACAAACCTCCAACCTCACTGCCAGAAGAAAGAGACCTGACTGCAAAAGGCAGGGGCGCTCACCAAGGCTTGCATACATTTCCAAGTTTAGACTCTGGGTCCATTGCCCAACCTCTGCGCTTCTTAATTGCAGATTTGCACAGTCTTCACTGCTACGCATGCGGCGCCTCTGCAGAGTTTGGGCTGAGGGGAAGCAAGGAGGGGGGCAGCGTCAAGTACTCGTGCAGAGTGCACACCACGTCCAATGGTTGCTTTCGAGTCGACCGAGACCGCGCAGGTGAGACACTCGGGTAGCCTGCTGTTGACATGGTGTAAAGTTCGTGCAACGCTCATGTTTGCTCTCCCATTGTCAGCAATGAGCATTTAGAAAGACTGTCAAGAGATTTACATGCTCTGTATTGTCCTGCAGCATGGGTAGAGGACCAAGAGATGCGCCGCCTGAGAGCGCAGGAAAGGAGATTAAAAGAAGAGCTGCGAAACCTGGGAGGGACTTCGTATGCCGCGGAACCAGCGGCAGGTGAACGTGCAGTGCTGGTTGAGCCGGTCTAAAATCGTTTGCTCTTGTCAAAGTGGGGGCAGCGACTTCCCTTCTATGCCTTTGGTGCGTCGTGATCATCCTTTTATTCACTGATACGTGATGCTTCTGTTATTACAGAGCAACCCAGCGCTCCACCATGTGCTTCCGCACCTTGGAGTGAGTTCCAGAGTACAAGGGATTGTGTTTCGATGCCAATGAGCCGATCGCTCATAGGTAAGGCACTCTTATTGCAGCTTTGATTGCAGCGCCGAATCCGCAATCACTATCAGAGCAGTTGGCCTGAAGATGCAGACACTTGAAGAGCACTTGGCTTGTCCCACTATATGACAATTCGCTTGTCGTGCATGAGGATCCGCTGATCTCTTTGGACAAGGCCAGCTAGGTGCATCTAGTCTGAATGTGTTGTCCTCACATGCAGTTACTCTCCTAATGATTGGTGCCATAGAGAGCAATCCTGGACCGCCCTTGCCCTCAGAATTGGAAGAGGTGAGCCTGGCAAGGGGGATGCTGCAGTGCAGGGTGGGACCAGCACCGGTTGTGCTTGAGCATGAATTAGCAACATTGTGTCTTTTCTCAGTGTCCGTGGTACAAAAGGAGAGGGGCTACAGATCTGTTGTGCTGATCTCCTTTCTCTCTCTACCACAGATTGCAAATTGCAAAAGGAGTTGGCAGGAAGCTGACCCGCACATCAGCTCCACGCTGCTGGCTCACCTGGCACAGCAGAAGGTCAACTTCGCACACTGGGAAAGATCGTCTCGTGAAGACCGCTTGGAAGACATACGCGAACTGAAGAAGGCGTTTGAGGCAGAGGACGGAGGCAGATGGGCACCGGGCTGGACTACGTTCCTTAGAGAGGCTCGGGGTAAGCAGGTTCTTCTGTTTGATGAGTAGGCTAGCTACGATGCGGCCTATTTGAATGTTAGGATCAGAGGTTGTGGTAGATCTGGAACGAAGGAGCAGGAGCTAAGTGGTGTTGTTTAGCATGTAGCGGCGGGAAAGCTTGGAAAAGATGGCATGAGAGGGGACTCTGCTGATTTGGATGGTGTTGCCGGCCTTTTTGCAAGGGGATACAGTTGCTTCTTCATTAATTCTGCGGAGGACACTGGTGCATGCTAGGCATGGTGTGTT